CTGCCGCACGAAGAATCACCGTGGGTCCAGAAGAAACGTTACCCCTCTAAAAAACCGTCAATATTGCAGGAAAACTTCTATTCTGAGTAGAGTCGCTTATTTCGCAAGACAAAGTACTGTAGTAGTAGTAGTAGTATACTAATCGTTTCTTGAACTGTCGTTATCAAATTTCTACCAATAAAAAGATACTTTTTTAAACATTTCTTCACTTATTTCAAAAATGATTTTGTGGTGTGTCATTTTTATCTTCCCCGACAATGCGAGTTTATTTTTTGACAAAATACACGGGTGAATTCGTAATAGGAGTGTGATATGAATGGACCCCCAGCAGGAATAAACAAATGAATAAAGTGAAACTTCGAATCTGAAGGGAATAACAAAAATGTTCCAGTTATTGACATTTTGACACAGCGGCAATGAGAGTTACTGAGATGAATAATATTATTCAGAACTGTTGTTCTTGGCTGTCCGACAACACTGCATCATGCCATGGCAGGTGTGACAACATTTCAGGCATCATGTCTTCTTCTTTGGGTGGAAATATCTTAAAACTTTATCCACCCCTTCGTATTTCCCGAATCCAACAAAGAAATTTGACAATAAAAAGGTTTAAAAAAATATATGAAAAGAACTCGCCGAGTAAGCAAATATTGGAAAACATCTATTTAGAACTTTGAAAACTAAAAGAGGAAGTACAAAAGTTACGATTGGACTTTCAAATTCTAGTCAACTTGAAAACACAATTATTGCAGATACACATACGACATTCGCTGCTACCAGTACACGCATTTATTCACCAACTATAAGGCGCAATGAATACACAACAAAACGAAGGGAAAAAGAAGAAGATGAAGAAGAAGAAGAAGAAGAAGAAGGAGATGAAGATGATGATGAAGAAGAAGATGATGAAGATGAAGAAGAAGATGAAGAAGAAGAAGATGAAGAAGATGATGAAGAAGAAGAAGAAGAAGAGGAAGAAGATGATGAAGAAGATGACGAAGAAGAAGAAGAAAACGACGAAAGAAAGCGAACAGAAGTGACTAGATAACAATCCCAATAATGCGAACAATGCAAAGAAAGCGAAAATTTCACTCATTTCGGGTTCGTCCCTTACAACTGCAGTGAACGAGGTGCGAGCGTTTGGGCCAGGCAGCGTGGGCTCACAAAGCCATCCACGCTTTTCCTGCTCAAGCCAGAAGACACTCCGCTGTAGGTCAAGCGCCTCACTTTCTTCTCCGAACTCCACGTTCTGTCCATTGACCCGAAAGCCGTTAGTCAGCCACGGAGCGACGAAAATATTTAAGGTCTTCGAAACGCGCGACTCATTCAAAGCAATGTCTGTTAAAAAATATATAATGTATTATCCCATTCGGAACATTTACATTCCTTTTAATTAATCCTGTAATTGTAATGATTAAAGTGTTAAAAATTAAAGTGTGTAAAAATTACCTCAGAACTAGTCTCAGTAGATTCACCCATAGTCATATATTAAACAAATCTGATACGAACATCAGTATCCCATGCAATTCCCAATACACAATTCATGTGTTATTGGAATGTTTAAGTGTGGTAAAGAGATGAAAATATTTGAAAACGAGTAATGATTTAAAAATAAATCTTAATTCACTAAATACTACTAAAAATATTAAAATATTGTTAAAAGAATTAAATATTTATGATAAAATTGAAATTGAATATACGTATGTTTAGGTTTATATGCGCATGTAATGTTCTTAATGAAACCTTGTCATGCGGTCACTAATAACCACGAAGGTGGATGTGACTTTCTATAAATTAAATTAAAGCAAATGTGACTGAAGCAAATGCATTAAAGCAAATTAACTTCTATGGCATATAGAGAGGTCAAAATATATATTTTCCTGTAAACATTATAGAGGGAAATTTCATAAAGCGAAGTTATACTTGTGGCATTTGTCACCGTCTTTTAGGCAACTGCTTATAACATTTTCAGGCATAACTTTTTTTTACGCATCATGGATATATTATGAACCTGCTGAACACCTGCACATTAAGAGTTGCCTACACATGAGGGGAAATGTTACATCTAGAAGTCCATTATATGCAATTTCGCACTATATTTATTCTGAGACAACTACACATTTACAGATTATACAATAATAAATTTCGAATTCTCGTAATTCTTTGTATACAACATCAATGTCTACCCAAGTGGCAAGTATTTGTATTTACCCATGATATGTCCGTAAAGGGCAATTAGCCTCAGCGCCGTTAGATCCGGGGTTTGCTAGTCGCTCTCCCAACCAGAATCCTGCGATGTTACTAATTCGCTTAACATTCCTGACTTCACGTAGTTCACAAATTGTGTTAGCGACGCCGGTTTCGTGGCCTTTCAGTAGAACCATTCCAGCAATTTCACCAGGATGACAGAGAGAAACCACGAAAACCACGGTGAAGATGGTCAGCACTGAGATTGATCTCGGGCCTCCCGAATGCGAAGTCAACGCACCCGGCCTAAGCTACTTCGCTTAGCAAGTGGCGGGCAATACATTTTGTAAATGTCGGTCTGTTAAGTATTTGAGCCAGGTACAGAGATCTTGATACTCTAGAAAAAGAAAGTTGTAATTTAAGCATATTGCAACATTACTTCAACATATCTCTACTGGATTACCCATTTCAATGTATTGGAGAGGACCAGGAAACTTTTGAATTGTGAAACTACGATTACAAGAATTCTCTAACCTGGCACAGTTGGCACGCTCCGTTAACGGTATACCACCCTGAGAAAACGAAGGCAATGAAATCATTTTCTCCATCTACACATTTTGCGTGGGAAAGCTAGTGCGTGCCTGGTAAGAATTTTCACGAGGCTGAAGTCGGGTTTGCTATCATCACATCTTGGCCGGCGAAAGACAAATAGCCGAAAAACTGTGCTCTGCGTGGAGACCTATCTTGAATCTACTAAGTGTTGTTAGAGCACTTTACTATCTCTTAGTTTCACACTTCTAGAAATTAACGCATCGATTACAGTGAATTCTGTTCATTATATTTCAATCCCTTCATCGAATTGAATATTCGTAATATGGTAATTTTCTACTTCAAATTAAAGTTTAAGCCAAATTAAAATATTAATAAATACGAGTATTATTTTATTTTTATTTTCTAAACAGGAATAAGAAATCTTCACATTTGGAATCTAAATCTCAGAAGCATATACGAGACCGTTAGATATACGTTTTTGAAAAACAAAATACTCTAATTGTTTCTTCTTTAAAAAGTCCTCATATCAGGAAAATGATAAGCAGACAATGGAAATAACGAAAACTTTTATCATCAGTCCCTCTACGAGACATACGATACACGACCAGTTTCAGTCAATTACTACTGACAGAAGATAAATCACTTCCAGATAATCATTATGAACGCATCGAATGGTTCACGTAAATCTTTACTACATTCCTTATACTTAAGGATACCTATTCAAATTGATTAAGGAAATCAAATACTCCCAGACGTATCATATTCCTACAAAATTTGGAATAAGTAATTTTGGGAGAGATGTTCTCATAAAAAACAACAACCAACAAACAAAAAAATGCTTCAATAGATGGTGCCGCATAATAATTAAGTTCTAAATCGATCTCTAAATTCTCGTAAGCATACTCCTTCGGTTCTCAAGGAGAACATGGTACTTTATTGCTCTACCAAGAGGAGGAGAGTTTTATTTCGGTTTTTGCTTTGGCTTCTTCCATCTGCAAATAGCGACACATCTGCAAGCAACTCACGCCACCACAACTAAAAGACCACATGGAGTAAACATCACGCATCAGCTGTAGTTACGATTAGGGCTGTGTTCACGAGCGCTAAAAGCTTCATTTAATTACCCACATCTTAGTCATCTCCACTCAGAGAAGGAATAATTAGCTGAATCAGGATTTGTCTCATATTTCACGTTTTAGCTTTCGCATTGCACGGTAGATTTAGTTGTACACAAGTGTAGTGTACAACTACAGTGTAGTGTGGGCGGGCTCGATTGTAGTGTTGGTAGTTAGTGGCTTCAGTGTCGCGCGGTGGATTAAGGATGACTTACGATGTATTGTAGAGTTAAAGTTTATTCGGCAGCACGCGGGAAGAATAGTGTCAAATGTACGGCTAATTCGGGCTGAAACAGCGGGATGAGACACCACGACAAACACAATCTCCAATGACAATTATCTTGGTTCGAGTTTTGAGTTAACTTTGTGTTCGCAAATAACGACGTTCCGAAAATTTCATATTGGCAAAAAAAGACGAGGTACGACGATCCGAAAAATTGCTAGCATTGAGAAAACAAACCAAATTGCTCTTTATTTTCGAAAATGAAGTAACAGGCAGAATAAGTTCTCATTGCCATGTACAATAATCTATAGTAATATTATTGGTTTCTGAATGTTTTCTTTACATCATATTTCAAAACAAAGCGCAATTAGAAGTAAACATATCTCGAGTATGATAATATCGACTTATCGATGTTTTGTATTACACGGTTTAGGAACCATTTGTGTTCTTACCCATCTCTCATTTCATTCATTCCCAGATACCAGCAATTATTTTTCCTCGCTGATGTGGTTTACCTCAAACCACGAATTAAGAATAATATTATACGATCTCGTTTCAGTATTTGTAACCCGAGTTTATTTGTAAACATGGGAGCAGAGGAAGTATCTCAAATTCTCAATTTACGAAAATAAAACCGATTGATGTATAATACTTCGGTGGAGATTGGTCCTAATCCACAGAATATCATTTACTGACATTGACTACACTAGGAAAATTCAAATATTTTGACGAGCATTATACTTTTAAACTTTAAATAAATATCGTTGTATTCCTGAAACTGAGCCAACATACGAGTGTTTAAAGCTTCTAGATTCATTAATAAGAACGCTGGCCTTCTAATACTTAAATAAATAAAATATATGTCGTCCGGTATCAAATCTGTATTCAAACTTAACATCTTTTCGATGGCGTAACGATCATCCTCAGAGCCGCCATTCTGGCCAGCTCTCCGCCTCCTTTCTGGACCGAACTTCGTTTTCTTGGAACCTCGTTCGGATGCAGAACTTCGTTTTCCGCTCAGACACCAACTTCCGAGGACGATCGCTACGGGATCGAAACGATCTTAAGTATAAATATAGATTTGATACCGAACATATTTAATTTATTTGATGCCTGGAAGCAGTCAACGACAATAAATCAAATTTTAAAATACTAAGAGTTCGCCAACAAAGCAACGCCACTTGCGTATTTACCTCCGCCTTGCGACACGCGTTTCGGGGTCGCGGGAGGAAACGGTGGCCGCGGGGGAGCGGCCTCCGACCGTCGCATATCTAATCGCGCGCATCTGCGAGAAAGCCAACGTCCCCGCGGGCGCTTGGGCCAGCGGCCAACGCCGCTCCCCGCAGCGCCCCAATCGCCGCCTTTCTTCCCGCTTCCTTTTTCCGGCGATTCCCATCGGCCCCGCCACGCCCCCCACGAGCCTCGGCTCCAGCCCACGCCACTCTTTCAGCATGCACCTCCGTCCCGCCTCGCCACACCCGTCACAGCTCTGCTCTGCCTCGCCCCGCTCCGCTCCTCCACCCCTCACGCTCTACTCGGCCCCATCCCACACCACTTTTTCAGCATCTACCCCCGTCCCGCCTCGCTTCACCCATCGCATCCCAGCTCTGCCTTGCCTTGCCTTGCCTTACCCTGCCCTGCCCTGTCCTGTCCAGCTTCTCCCCTGCCTCACTCCTCCCACACCACTCTTTCAGCATCTACCCCCGTCCCGCCTCGCTTCACCCATCGCATCCCAGCTCTGCCTTCTGCCCTGCGCCTGCCCTTTCTTCCTGTCCAGCTTCTCCCCTGCCTCACTCCTGTCTGGCCCCTCCCAACCACTGCTTTTCAGGCTTATTCGCTAGCCCCCCCGCCTCACTCCGTCTCGGTCCCATACAACACGCATTGTTTCAGCATCTCACTCCAAATACAACCTCTCCGCGCCCTCACTCCTGTCCTCAGCCGCCATACCACACACTCAGAGTCTACCGCCGCTTCCGCCTCGCCGCAGCCCATCCCTCCCCTCTGCCCAACCCGGGCCCACCCGCCGCCCTCACTTCCCCGTCTACGTGAACTCGAACGTCAACAAGCAGCATCCTTACTTCGGTGACGACGAGGAACAATTAAGTAGTCGAATCCTAATTACTGTCACACAATACTACGTAACAAGTTAATTTTCAAAACACTCAGAACAATTGCTAACTAGAGTTGCAGTAGCAGTTCATTTCGCGGTAATTAACGACAGTTGACAAAGAAAATTCCAAAGGGAAATCAAACAGGTTTCTGCCCTCGTCATGAAACTGGTCCCAGCTATTGTTACAATGATACGGTCACTCTCATTTGTAGCGCTGTGTGTATTAATTAGTGAAACTACATGAAAAACATGGTCAATTCACAAGAGATGGTAGTGTCCACAGGAATTTTTCAGCTACAAATTTGATCGTGGGAATTTAGTCGAGATGTTGTAACATTGTATGAGAATTTTAGCTAGTTGTACACACTGTTGGTTTTTGTGAAAGATATGTAAACAAAACATCACAAAAATGAACCGTCAAACATTGTTATAGAAAATTCAATGGATCCTTCGACTGCTTGCAATGTACTCACTGGAGAACAAATGCAAAACGAAGTATTCGAATAAGAACTGAGTAATAAACACGAAAGAGGAAATTTAACGGAGGGAAATTGATACCGATTTAACTTCATCCACCTGTGATAATCGATTAATACCTTTCCTAAACTCGTAGAAAAGAACTATAACCGACAGCGCTCCTTCGACAGATTGCACGGTATTCAGCCTGGTAAATGATGCGGACGAAACGAATACGAAATATGAAACAACGAAGAAACACTTAGGGAATATTAACACATCAAATAACAATAAAAACGTAAATATCTGATTCATTGTTACACCAAACAATGAATCATCAAAAGTACTCAAACCCTTCTCAAACTCATGAAAAAACCCTCTTTCGGGTGCTTCGAATGCACTCACTAAGTCTGACCTTGTCTCACCTGAATAAGAAGGCAATACACAATCAAGAGAATTTATCCAATGGTCACCAGTGACAACTTTAATATCGATTTAACCACAACCACCAACTGATCATTCATTGTAATTAACCCTTCCCTCTAGCTGTAAAAAGGACCTTCTCGGGCATGACTCACATGGAGAACGATCGAAATGAAGTATACGATAGTGAAAATACGTAAACAAACACGAAAGAATTGGAATTTACCATCAATATTGCAACAATACGTGGATTTCAATTAAACAGCACACGAACGTGATCATGCGCTTGTAATAATCTCTTCCCCAAACTCGTCAAAAAGTCCGCTCCAATAACAAAACAAAACGACCAAGAACGTATACGAATATGGAAATACGACACGAACATAAATTTAAGGTATAATATTAAAGTCACAAATTTCATACAGATTAACGCTCACACCAACATGATCCATGACGTTTACTTCTAAGCTGTCCAAAATGATCATGTACACATAATTTACCTTTTTCGTGTACATGATGCAATGAGTGATAATCATTCACTCTCAAATTCGCACGAAGCTCTTCCTCGCCCCCCCCCCCCCCCCAAAAAAAAACGCCTCAAGCGCACGTTCACTCACGAAATTAAGTCTTAATACACAAGTCTTTCATACCAATTTAACCTCTCACCAACATGATCACGAGTTGTAATGCATTCTTCCTCAGATTCGCCACAGCAAGGCCCTCCTAGGGCCCAAAAGTACCGCTTCAAGCGCACTCAAACGAAATTAAGTTAATATCACAAGTTTTAATACGTCAATTTAACTACACAGCAGCATGATATCGACTGTCAGAAACGTTCCTCGCAATTCTTCGCCCCTCACACGTGGCGAGAAGCGACGTCGAGGGGCTTGGCGTCGCGGGCGGGGGGCGGCGCGGCGTGGAGGCGGGCGGCGTGGCAGGCCGGCGCCGGGCGGGCGGCGGCTGGGCGTCTTGCGGGCGCGGCGGGCGTGGGCGGCGGGCGTGGCCGCGGCGGCGGCAGCTTGCAGCGGGTTGCCCGTTAGCGCCGCTTGCGGATGCCGTACGTGTGGGCACGGGCACGATGAGGCTTGGGCGCGCGGGATGTAAACCGTCGGGGGCGGCGGCCGGCGCGTCGAAGCGCCTCGCCGGCTGGCAGCAGGTGCGCGTACGGCAACGAGTATTTTTGTACTCGCTGTCCGCCGGCGGCAGCAGCAGGTCGGGCTCCGGCTCGCGCGGGCTCGGAGCGGCGCGGCGATGCACAGCGGCCGCGCGCGACGCGGCGACCCTTCACCCGGTACCCGGCCCCCCCACGTACTCCTCTTCTGCTCCGCTCCCGCTGCGGCTTCTTCCCCATCGTCTCCTCCGTCTTCTTCCTCCTCCTCTCGCCCGTTGTGCTCCGCGTGCGGCGATGCCGGTGCATGCGGCGATTTCGAGTACCGGCCCGCGTACGCTAGCGTGTAGTCCGCTGGCGGCGTACCGGCCGCGGAGCGTCCTCCTGGGAGTAGCCGTTTGTCTGCTTCGAGGACCGTCGGTGGGCACGCGCGGTGGCTGGGGTGGGGTGGGGCGTGGTGATGGTGGGACAACCGTTCCCGTTCACGTGTTCCTCCGGACGGGTGGTTTCCGTTGACGCGCGCTCCCATCCGCCGTCGTAGCCGCCGCCGCCTTGGGCCAGCGTTTCTTCGCCTTGATGTTGGGCTTGGTGTACAGGTCGTACTCGATTATTTTTTCGGGCTTGGCTCCTCGCGTGGCCGTTCTCTCCTTGGCGATGGTCGTGGGCGGGGTGGTGTTGTGCTTCTTCTTGTCCTTGCGGAAGGGTCCCCGACGAGTAGCGCAGCTCCTCTGGCTGGAGGAAGGCCGACGAGGCGAGGTGCTGGTGTGGGGAGCGGCGTCGTCCCTGGGGTACTCCCGCGGCTAGCGACGTCCGCGCGCGGGGAGCCGGCGGGGGCCGGGGTGTCGGGGGCGGGGACGGCGGGGCGGCGCACAGCCACCCCACGCCCTCGGGTGCTCCCAGCACTTCCCCGTCCCCTGAGGCGCTCTCAGCTCGTCCAGCACGCGGGCGGCCACGCCCGGCGCCAGCCACCGCCCCCCGCTGCCAGCACGTGGCGCGGCTTCCGTTCCAGGCTGCGCCTCGTACAGCAGCTACCATCACCCGCTTGAAGTGCCGGCGTGCGGTGGAGATTCACGCCTCGATCAGCCGCGCGCCCCGGGTGGTGACGGGATCCTCATGGTGACGCGAGACTCAGATGCCGTTCAAACTACCCGAGGTCAGCCAACCAAGTGGCTAAACACTCATATCTTCTATTTGTTTATTTTTTATGATCGGCCGCGGGATTGAGAAAGGTCTTTGCCGGTCCAGTACCGTAGCAGGGCGGGCCCACACACGACACACGGCGCTTTCGAAGGCCGCTCGCACGAGACGCGGCCAACGCGGGCGCAGAATGCATTTTGCGGGGGGCGCCCTCTCGACTGTGACTAACGCCTCTCCGGTGGTGTTTCTTCATACGGCGTCGAGTCGCATCCCGAGTTTCTTATTCCGAAGCGGCGGCGCTCTTTCTCGATACGTCACATCGAAACGTCGTAACAGGTCGTTAGTTACCGAGGCAGCTTCTTCCACCGCGCGTGTCGTTTTCTTTCGCAAATAGGATCTGTCACGCACGGCTGCTTGGGCGGGCGCGCACGTGAAATCCGCTAATTACCCTCTTTTGTACAAAAATAAATAAATAAATTTTCTGTTAAACGTATTTTATGATGCGTGATCTTTCCAGTCGTCAGAAAAAGTCGAAGACGAAGGAATGTTTCTCTTGTCGTTGATTGGCTGGCTTTGTCTCGAAC